GAATGTTTCGGCTCACTTTGGAGTCATTTTTAGCGAAAAAGTAGAATATAATATCTCATTGAAAGTAAGTCACTTACAGATTGACAGAAATGCAGTAATCAATACGCTATATAAATTATTACAATTTTATTGTTAATTTAACAATTAAAAATCAGTAATAACCGTGTGACTCACCTCAACGGGAAACAAAGAAGTTAACAAACAATGATTCACAATTTTCATAAGATATAAATTTTAAAAAATCATTCCTCGAATTATAATAATATCGTATCAGTTCATCTTGACGAGTCGTTTGAAATTGAACGTTACAAAGTGATAAGGAGACTTCGAAACAAGCAATATCAATAAATAATAATAAGAAAGTCAACCTATAACCAATTCAAATCTCAATATCGTTTTAATAAGGAAGCATACGAGTAGTGCAAGTAATTCGTATCTGTTTTTAAATTAAGTTCATTCTTTTGCATGTATATACGTAGGCTGCTGAAAAAGTTTCTGCAATCTACTTGTACTTCCAGTGACGCCAACGTTCTGCTACTATCATATTCGTAAAATTAGACGTTTTTAACCTATAATTCAATTGACAGTTTGTACCCAAGCCAACTAGTTTCGTTTGTATAGTATTTTAAAAGAAGTGATTTTGTAAGAAAATGGAAATTTCGCGTGAAAATTTTCGGGCAATGATTTTTTACGATTACAAATGTAATCTAACTCCGAAATAATGCATCTATCGACTTCATTTGGCTTTTGGGGATGAAGCACTATCCAATAGGACTGTTTATAATTGGTTTGCCGAATTCCAGCGTGAACGTACCTTTCTTAGTGATGAATTCCGTGAAGGTCGTCCATCCATGTCTGTTGTTGCCACTAATGTTGATGCTGTGCGTGAAATGATTGAGCGAGACCGGCATATAACATACCGCGAGATTCAGACATCCTTAGGCATTGACATGAAAGCAATACATACGATTTTGCATGATTACTTGAGCGTACGGAAACTTTGCAGTCGTTGGATTCCACACAATTTGACCAAAGCTCAAAAACAGGCTCGTGTTAAATGGAGCAAAGAAATGCTCAAGAAATTCAACCGAG